GTCTATGTAGAATTTTCTATCGCCGCCAGTGATCTCTATTTATATTAAAAGGTTATGACATTTTTTTTAATCGTTAGACAAAAAATCTTTGAATTTCGTGGTCACAATCGAGAGTTTATTAAGACATAATTGCTTATGTAGGTAAATTTCAGCCTTTTTGTCTGCGAAGTAGAAGGCATCCGGGACTACTTGTTCAGCAGTCTTGTGACCTATCTTCTGGCTGCCAGTTGAATGTTTTTTTTCTTCTTAGGAATTATGAAATTTCTTATCTGGAGGGGCGATATGTACTCTTTTTGGACTGTAAGACTCTTACTGATTTAAAATCACCCCTATTATGTTTCACTCTCAAATTATGTTTTCCTTTTTGTCAAAGGAAAATCATCAAATGACTTCTCCCGCCCACGGTGATAGCGAGAGGGAGTGTCGAGACTCTTATGGACTAAAATCCCCCCGTTCCTTCTCCTACTTTAAGCCAAGGCCGCGGTGCCTCATTGTGCTAACCCCGCGACCCCGGACACAAATTATAATACAGTTTCTTTTAAATCTGTACCAATATTATGAAGAGGTAAAATTTGTAAGTTTTGTATGTAGGGGGTAATTTGTGGAACCACTGGTCGGATTACCCAAATGATTTCAATGATAGATAGCTACAATGTTCCTGAGTGCTGTAGGCTATAAAACATCATGCTACGATCAAATAGAGCTGAGCAGCGAGTGAAACCGAGATTAGCTAGTACTTGATAATTTAATAATTATTCGCTTGAAATAAATCTACCCATAACGGTACTCGAGTTGCATTTTGAGGCAATTATTTACTATGACACATGCTTCTTCTTTATCGTATCGTGTCGCGAGCTGTCAACTGTATCAAAACTAGTTCACATCACAACTAGAGTTGTCACGAATATTTGGCTATTATTCGGTATATTTGGCCTCTTTTTATTCTTGTTCGGTATTTCGGCCAAATGAATCGTACTATTCGGTACCGAATACCAAATCATGAAGAAAGACACGTATCTCACTCAATATTATATTAATATATGTAAGTATTCATAACCAAATCACAACACATTAGAAGTAAAATGGATAAAAACAATAATTTCAGTATTTATAGCAAGCGATTACGCTTTTCTTCATAAATACCAGCTTTGGAAAACCACCTCTCACTATATACGCTACTTCCAGGAGAAGAAAGATAAACATTATAAAAGGTTCGGTTAGTATTCGTTTTATGCTTACTACTATTAAGGATCAGCCTTCCAATCAAGGCAAATTGTTTTTAAATAAACTACTAAACTTCTGTCACATAATATTCGGCCGCCGAATATTCGACTCATCAGCCAACAGCGTCGCCGAATATTCGGTGTTCGGTTTTCGGCCAAATCACAATTTGTGGCAACTCTAATCACAACACGTAATTCCCCATCAATATTCATAAGCAGCACGCTATTCAAACGAGTTCACGCGAATAAATCGTTTATTTAAATTCCGTAAGTATAACTCACGATAATTATTACACAATTTTGAGATTTTGGCAATGCGTTTGTAATAAAATATCAATTCATTGGATTGCCCTTAAATATAAATATTACATTCGTTTTTTAAACGGGGTTAAGCTACTCTCCAAGTTTTTAATCTCTTGTTCACCCACAATTTCAAGAACACTGTTCCTATTAAAATATGTTCAAAACCTTGAGTTAGTCAATTCAAGTCCTAGCTTTTTTCTATTTGTATTTTTCCTATACATATTGTTGCTTTATACGTCTTACGTCAGACAAACTTAGTTTTTACATAAATTATTTTTTTTTATTGCAGCTCGCCTTTTTTGGGCAATAAATAGGAGGCAATCGAGCAGACGTATCACCTGATAGTAAGTGATCACCGAAGCCCGTAGCCAAAACTTGACGGACTCGTCCCGCCATTTAAGCAAGGAGTACGCTCGTTTCACGAAGGTTTGAAAGTCGTATCTCTATTAGAACAAACGTGGAGGCGTTTCTTTTTTATAAAGGTCAGGATGGAACAAAAATCGTTGAAAGAATTAAACGGTTCAAAAGGAGAAAAAATAATCTTTTACCTTTATTCCAATTAAAAGAATGGTGTCCAGCTATCAGTCACTGATTTCGGGAATACGAGCAACTGTCACACAATTATTCCATTTCACGAATGACGATGCTCATTACTCAGAATTGAAACTAGTTTGCTCTATTCCCACAAAATTGTCCATTACAGTAATAAAACTAAGCACAACAACTACATCAAAGGATCGCAACGTTGCCCTAACACGGAACTAACCGTGCCGTCGATCAAAAATATTTTTATAATAAGAAGTTTCTTATTTCATAGACCCCATTCGTTAAAAGACATTGGTAGATGTCTTCCTTCTAGAACTATTGAATTTATTTCCATCAGCCCAAAATGATCGAACAAGTTTCTTATCGATGCTCGTTCCACAGTTATGGTTCTGATAGTCCTAACGTTGTCCCTAGTTATCCTTCTCAATAAATTATACAAATAATTTCTGTAATAAAATACTATAAAGCAGGTTCAATTGTTTGAGAAGTATGTAACATCAATATTCAGTCAAGGTCCAAGGAAAAACCGAACTTTAGGAATACAGCCATAAATGAATACTGTTAAGGGTTGATTTCAATTGTTAACAAAACTGACAATCAATTACACTGCACAACATAATTGATGAGTATTTCGTACTTTCTATGATTATTCAGACACCACTGACACACGGTGAAGGAAAACATCGCGAGGAAACCTGAACCTATATTACTTAATTATAAATTTGAAATCGCCAATCCACTTTGAGCAAGCGTGGTGAGTAATTCTCAATCCTCCGTATGGCGCTTAGAGACTGATGACATAGTAAATAATAAAAATATTTATTTTATATACACGTTTATTATATACTAAATATGTGATGTAATGCCACTGATAACGACGGCACGTTCAGCACGACAACTTAAGCTGACGTACAATATGCTTATACAAATAATTTTTAACGAACAAAGATTTAAAGTTATTAAAACATATGAAATTAATGTGACGTCTATTAAAATTGTGTACGTAATTTTTATAGAATTGTTAAAAATACAATTAGATTTATTACATTAGATTTTAAATTTCTAGAAAAATATAATGATCATTTTATTAAAAAATACTGAACAAAAACTAGCGAGACCCGTGATAAGTTGTAGTTATTTCTTTTGAGTAATTGCTTTTTCTTTTGAGTTACAGTTTTTTCTGTGGGATTTTGTTAAAACATTTAACACTGAATTTCATTAACGTTTTTTGTACTCCTGCCAAACAACGTGATGGCGGAGCTCGTGTTTGTCAAACAAAATATTTTTACTAACATACACTACATAATGTTTTCCCGTTTTTTTATTGTACAGACATAACATTGTGTGGTCATACATCAACAGTATTAAAATTCGCCGACAATATTGAGTAATTCGGTTTCTAAAAACCAAATTAAAGATGAACCTAACGAAAGAAAGAAAGAAAAATGCATTTATTCGGCATCAGACATGAAAACCGGTAACAATAATAAAAATACAACAAAGAAAGAAAACAATAAAGAGGTTAAAAAGACAGAAAAACAATAATGCTCAAAATAATGCAAGGCAGCTTGTGCGACCCCACGGACCTGACTCCCGGGAGGTGCCTTGTTCTTCATCTCCGGTTGGCACTCGTGATTAGCTGGAGTGAACACTGATGAGGAACAAGCCCTTCTACCTCATTCTTGCCTTAATTGGCTGGCTTGAGTGGAGATTCGTAAGAGTAGGAGTTGAAGGAGACATCTCACATCTCTCTCATCAGGAAGGATGCATCTCAGTAAGATGCTGGTAGGGTTTTTGACCGTACTTCCGGGATTGCTCTGATAGCCGTGGGATGTCTCTTCTTCCCCAAGCAGTTTAACGTTTAGCTTTGCTAGCGGCCGTTTCTGGAGGCCAATAATTGAGTTTGCCAGTCACCCCCTGCCTGTTTATCCATAGTTATCATATCCATCAGTCCCTAGCAACCCATACCTATAACCCTTTCAATTATTTCCACATTTCGCAATAGTCCTGCATCAACCGGGGATTAATGTTGGGTGAACTTTCATAGCGCATACAGGGATAATTGCCGGCTGATGTCCCATTACACTTATATTAAAGTTGTTCAACGGGCCTCTGCGAGTTGGTTCCCTCCATCGTTGGCTTTCTGTCTTGATTCGGTGGTTCCGTGAACGGAAACGAATACATGGTAAAACAGACTAATAATAATAGAAAAGCATGCTACTCAGGTTGGCAGACATTCCTAATCCATTTACAATAATAACGCCAGGATATAAAGTACGTAATAAGATTATCTTCTGATGAGTTGTTCCCGTAATATATTTTAAGAACACTTTCAAATCCAATGAAAACCTGACAAATGGTATTGGAGGTAAATTAAAATATCAAACACACTCTCAAACCACATGCACATGCTTGGAATACAGATCAAAACGCAATGGAGCAGGAGAAAGAATGGGGTAGTTTGAGTGCGTTGCCGACCTAAACTCACCGACACCTTATGATACCAAACATGAAGACAGTTGATGATTTTTCCCCCTTAAAAAATCCTAACTGCATTTGTTTCCGTTCGTTAGCCATAGTTTCTCATGAGAATAACAAATATAAGATTTTCATTGTCACTATATGGAAAGATAAGGATAAACTGGTCATTTCAAATTGAAATATGGACACAATAGTCATTTTTATCTAATACCTTAAAACTTAGCTTAACGATCACAAAACTGTTACCTATGTTGAATGTTTATGACATACGGTACCCTAAAAAATGCAAGTCTTACATAGCAATTATGCAAAAAGCCTTCTTAAGCAATTGTCCCCCCCTTAAAAAACAAACTATTGTTGTTTTTATACTTTTCATATCAATAATTAGTATATAAATATAAAATGTGAATACATTTTATACAGTTTGTTATTTTATTATATTGTAAAATGTTACCATTACTAGTGATACTTGGTGTGGTGTTTGTAACATGGTACTGGTGGAGACCTGTTCCCCGTTCACCTCCGACGGTTCCTGGAGCACTGCCCATCATTGGCCATCTATGGGAATTCATAAAACACCGGAATGGTAACTTTGATTAATTATATGTTAGCAAAGATGCGAAACGTAGCTTTGCTCAGAGTTTCTCTAAAGAATTGTATCTGAAATGAGGTGATTTAACCAGAACCAATTTCAAAGTTGTCGATATAGACCTACTAACGTAACAGTGAGCCGCTACAATGTGTACAAACGTGTAGGGTGGCATCTGTAGGCTGGGCAATAACATCCACATAGAGATTAATTGGACGCAAAAAGCTAAAAATTGAGCTCAATTGCATGCTATTAGAAAGTCCTATTTCCAGCAGCGGACAATACGCTAGACTTGTAATAATGGTAGACAAACACGGTTGTTAAAACATTCCACTTCTGTGTGTATGTGATGTATTAAAAACGTGTAAAAAAATGCTTAAATGTTCACACTCAAACATATCACACTGATTATATAAAATACTAACGGGGATGATGTTAAACTTGAGTCTTATCAGAAAATATTAAGCTTAGTCTTCTTTGTTATAATTTTGTTACATAATACCCTAAAAGATTTGCTATTTCAAAATTACTTAACCTGAAAACTTAAGACAAGGAATGTGATTCAGAGGTTCATTAGGTACTCTTAACAAAGTTACTCACTAAATTAACATACATATTTGAATTGATACTTTCAGATCTATGGCAGTACATGGATCACATTATAGACGACGTGCTAGAAAACGAAGAGCTTGTTCAATTAAAGTTGGGAACACATACCCTTTACAGTAAGTAATACCTAGTAATCAGAGTTTTTTTTTTTTTTCACTGCACGGTTGGCTGGGCAACTGGCTGCCGTGCAACGTGTGCGATTCCCGCACGGAACAACTATTTGTGTGATCCACAAATTGTTGTTCCGGGTCTGGGTGTCTTGTCTATGTAAAATTGTATGTTTGTAACAGCACACACGACACAGGAGAAAATCCTAATGTGGGGCAACGCTTTTTAAAAAACGAAAAAAACACAAAGAGGTATTCAATACCGTAATATAGTTTTTCAGGGAATATTTCGTGGATATTTATTTAGAAGCTTTATTTATTTAGGCTGATTTTTCAAAAGTCAGATTAATGTTATCTGAGGAATAAAATTGTTGCCGTCAGTGTTTTATGCAAATATTCTGACGCGACAGCATCATAATTATTCCGCAGATAACTTTTATCGAACCATTGAAAAATCAGCTGTAAAACAAAATAAGGTGGTACAAGAAAAAATATCTTCCAGTCCATTAACGCCTACACTTAAGACGCTTAAGTAAAGTTTGTTGCTAATGTGTACTGCTAATGTACACGATTTGGGACCTTAATTTGAAAGAAATATATAAAATAATTGCTTGATTGCAGTTGCAAGCGACCCAGAGGAAGTCGGCATTATAGCTAACGCATGTTTGGGCAGGCCATATTTTTACAATTTCCTTATAGATGGAATTGGAAATGGATTGGTAACAGCTGATGGTACGTCGAATATAAATTAAATATAGAATATAATTTATGGAGTGTACAAAAATTATACAAATTTATCTTATTACAGCGGCTATGTGGAAGATACATCGAAGATTATTAAATCCAGCATTCAGTCAGGTTGTGCTGAACACATTTTTACCTGAAATGAACGCGCAAGCTCAATATCTGGTCTCAGAATTGACTACTATGGCAGGCAAGGGGCCAGTAGACGTCAAAGAAACATTGAATAAATTTGTTCTGAGGACAGTTTGTCGTGAGTATTATAAGCTTTGGCTAAAAATGAGAAGGTTTGTCTATTATTACAAGATAATATTGAGAGAGCCTTAAAACGTCAAATCTAACACCCAAGACCATCATTACGCTGATGATGGGCAGTCTGAACCCAACGAATGGGATTAGGGGAGAGAAAAGCAAAATTTGTGTTGCATGTTTATAAAGTAATAGTATGTATATTAGACAACCGATTCAGAATCCATTCCACTCATGCTAAGGCGTTTGTTGCATCTCTGTGCCACTTTTACGTTTACGTTGTGTTCAATAAAGAGGTACCAAATAAAAAAAATATGAATTGTAAGTAAGAATACAGTCGGATAGTTTCTGTTATTAAAGTGTTTTGCCATTACTATTCACAGGAACATCATTAGGATTGAACGCTAAAGATCAAGATATGGTTGGCGACAAGTACGCGAAAACTATTGACGAATATTTGAAAATAGTATGTGGTCGAAGTTATAATGTAGCATTGCATCCTTCATTGATATACAATAGCACAAAATTGAGAAGCAGAGAATTGGAAGTAGCCAAAGACATTGAAAACATTTTAAATCCTGTAAGCAAGTTCAGTGTTTATCCATATTTCTTTAACGTTTTAAGTTATAGCCTTTTTTGTCAGGGAAAAATATTCTTTGTTTTTTCTCCTGCTTTATGCAGCGGTCCTCATTGCGCTTACCCCGCATCCCTGCCAGAACCAAACCCATTAGAGCCATCCATCATTGGAGGTCTATTGGCTCTTTGAGGCGCGCGTGGTACGCTACGCGCCGTACGGGTCTGGTTCTGGTCGGGTGGCGAACTACCCTTACTCGCCGTCCGCAGGCCCTACAACTAAGATTTGAATAGCACTGTCAATGTGATTAGCTAATTTAATGTTATTATAAATATTTAATTTAACGCTTTAAACTTACCACTGTTACTACTTCTATCAACCATTTACAGCTTACCTTGGCTTGTAGAGGATTTACACTAAGCTTCCCTTAACAAGCGTACTTGCATCATTATAGTAACTTGTATATTTTTCCATTTTTAATGCTCCTTTTTGTGTTGGAAAATTTATAATGTTATTTTATACACATTTCAGATAATAAAGAAACGGAAATCTGATTTTAAAGCAAATAACTCTACGGTCAGTGGTGATAGTTCAATAACAGGTTTGTGGTAGTACAATTTTTGCAATTACTTTTTAGTGTTAAATGTTGCATTAATTGAGTAGCAAAATTGGCTTGTTTTCTGTTAAAATGACGTTTTCTTACATAAAGTCATGTTTTAATACCGTGATAATTTTTTTAAATTTTGTATTTTCAAATTTGGGTTCTGCAGAAAGAAGCATTAGCAGGAACACATTTTTATGATGTGCAATCATTCAGCATAAATAACTTTTAAGATCATATTCATCAAAGTAGTATAATCAATCTCTGTTGCAAAAATATTGACCGTGGTTTAAAACATACGTTCGTAATAACATAACAAACCAAGCAAACTAAAAGCTCTATTTGGTTTCAGGTAAATTCAAACCTATACTAGATCTGTTACTGCATTTATCTGATGAACAGCATGTCTTCTCCGATGAAGATATCAGACAACATCTGGACACTTTTGTCATAGCGTCGTTTGAGACAACATCATCAGTACTTCAATCAATGTTCTTTGTTCTGGGCTCAAATCCAGATGTGCAAGAACGAATTTTCGAAGAGTAAGTTTTGCTGGTTTTCTTATTGGTATAGTCATGTTCTCTGATAGTTAGTTGTTTCGTGTATTGAATAACTTCTGTTGACTAATTTTTCAGCTCAAAGTTAACTCTCAGTTTGTACCCTTTGCACATGATCGTATTTCATGCATTCTAGAGATTGTCCTGGGTGAAGTAAGAGGGAGTGTCAGACTCTTGCTGACTAAAAACTACCCTGTGTCTTCTCCTGCTCCAGACTAAGTCACAGTGCACCATTGCATTTGCATCATAAACATCGCCTGACCGGCTTGTTTCTCTTATCAAAAATTTCAATTTAAGAAAAGACCTTAAGTTTGTATTTATTTTATTTTTTTGCATCATTCAGGGTCCAAGAAGTATTTGGGAACAACGAGGAGCTAACTAAACAAGACATGTCTAAGCTTATTTATTTAGAAGCAGTTCTAAAGGAGTCATTGAGACTTCTTAATATAATTCCTTGGATCGGGAGGAAACTTGATACTGATGTTGTACTTCGTATGTATTTTTTTCTTCCTTATCTCTTATTTCACCATACAAGATTATTTTTCCAGTTAAAAACCAAAACGGGTCCAAAAGAATTAGATTTCTTGATGGTAAGCAATCGGCCATGGACACTCGCAACAGCAGACTGCGTTATCGGACTTAGGGAATTAGGGTTACGAAGATTTACTGATTTATACCTCACAATCATGGTGGAGCACAACGTTGTGGTCGTTTCAAGTTGGGTTTTCTGTGAGGCCATCATTATTACTCCTGTCAAGCCGACTCGTTCGTGCCAAAGCATAGGTTAACCACACTCTTGGATAAAATGGCTTCATCATGACAATCACCTGATGTAAAGCGGTCTTAATATTAATTCCAGAACCGTCATGAATATATTGCTGACCTACTTTTACGAATCAGAAAGAATATTATAGGAATCTTATTTCATATTTCTTTTAATTGCAATTTCAGCTAAATACACCCTACGAGCTGGTAGTACATGTATGCTGTCAGGGTTCGGTCTTCACCGTCACTCCTCGTGGGGGCCGGACGCAAGGGAGTTCAAACCGGAGCGATGGCTAAATCCTGGCACTGTACCTACTAACCCCAACGCATACGCCGTGTTTGGTATTGGCAAGCGAAACTGCATTGGTACGTTTACATGATTTTTTTATCGAGTCTTATCTAAAGATCACACGGAAATGTTATTATAATAATTGTATTTGTTGTTAACTAAAAGCTTATGATGATGACGATGATGAGGAATTGTAGCTGAATCCGAGTTTACATCAATGTAAAAAATTAAAGCTATCGGACTAATACCTTCTGATATCGAGTGGTAGACAAGCATAATTTTCTCAGTCAAAAATTTAGTTAGTCGACTTTTAATGTACTTACATAATAGTGTCATAGAATATTCAAATATGTGTAAGTATGACACTTTCGCTGTTTTATGTAGGTATTTTTCTTTATTTCCTTCCTCCTTATTAAAAAAATATATTGTTCATTGACAAATACGACGACACAACACATAATGTCGTTCAAAATTCATTGGCGCTTTTCGACTTTGACAATTTTACTTCTTACTATTAAAGGAGATGTTAAATTAGAGAAGATGCGAAAGTTACGATACTTGGATATTTGCTACTCAATCACGCCAATATGGGTAGACAGATCTGAATGAAATTTGGCACAGGCATAGGATACACTTCGGAATAGGAAATACTTAGGCTATTTTTAATCAACATGCCACGCGGACGGAAGCTAGTTAGAAATAAGTATTGAATTTGTCAAGTTGTTAAGTATCAACTGGTATGTTTTCAGTTATATTAACTAATGCTATATACTATAATTTATATTTACAGGGAAACAATACTCTATGATGTCCTTAAAGATGTCGCTGGCACATATCGTACGCAAGTTTAAAATTACTGGCGATTTCAATAAATTGAAATGGAAATACGAAGTCGCCTTGAAACCAGCAACTACAGCCCTTGTTGATATCAAGTTAAGGTCTTGATTCAAGAATAAAGATTTATTTATTAAACAATGTCTATATTTTTAACAGATTATACATTTGTACACTCCTTTCCTCCCTCCTCTTCCTCCCCTCAATTCAAAGGAGGCCTGTAAGAGATCGCCTGGTGAGATAAAAACACCCATCGTACATTATTTTTTTTATTATTTGGGATGATTTGTTTTTATGTGATGTACAATAAAGCGGGTTATAAAATAATTGTGTATTGTAACTTAAGACCGCCTTCATGTGTGTTACATAGTTGTTAAATAAATAAACGTTTGTCAGTTATCAGTGAAGCGAGGTGCTCATTCTAAATTGTCGATACGAATGGAGAAAACAAAGAAACATTATCGTTAGTCTTAAAAAATACAGTTTAAGCAAGTGTCAATTTCAACTCAACATGCGCGCCAGCCAACTTATAAACCCCAAGCTTTATATAGTTAAGACGCATATATTCTCCACCCCTGACACCATACAAATAGTATAAGTGTACAATCATAATATATGTACATAATGTGTGCACAAACATTAATATAATTAAAAAATAAATGTTGATATTATGCTGTTTCATTGTTAACAGTCCTCATCAGCGCGGATTCTTTGAATGGGATCACCCCGGCTCCGCCTGGCAAGTATGCGCCCTCGCTTGGTTCACACAAACCGGCAATTCGTTTTTGTGAGGCGCTCGTTGACGAAGAAGCGCTGCGGCGGGCCGGGCGTGTCGAGGTCGGCGGTGGTCGCACCACGCCGCACGCGGGCACCAGCCAGCAGCTCATCGCGCAGGTCGCGGCGCGCCGGGCCGGCTGAGCTACTGGCGTTGATTTGCTTGCCCCCGACCCGCTCCGCACTGATTATGTCCCGCTCCTCCAACTGCACTCCTAACTTGATGCCTACAGCTTTTATAATGTGAATCGGGTTATCAGAAGGAGCCCCCGATATATTTGTAATTTCCACATCATTTGCCAGTAGGTCCTGATCCCTATCGTTCAGCTCACGCCGCAACTCTTCCACGACCTCGTCTGCCGATGAACGACCCGTAGTTGCCCGTTGCTTCAGTGCGCTAATTCTGGCCTCGAGGCCATCAATGCGCACATTGCAGCTGCTCATTGAAGACACAAGCTGCGCCATCTCCAACTCCATCTCCTTACGAAACTCCTGAATTTCCACACGCACCGCCCTCAACTCCACCATAAGCAAGCCTAAGTCAAGGCTAACGATAGCCGCGACAGCAGCTGAATAGGCGTCCCCACACAGCGGCGTAGATGCTGATGTCCAGAACATTGTTGCTCGCAGACCACGGGTGCTGGTCCAGAGCCGCTGACATCCAACTCATCAGTCGTGCAGGCCACTACGCAAACTTGACTTCCAGGATCCCCTGCCGATCTAGCCGAACCTCTGACCGCGGTCTCCGCCATGTTGTCCCTGACCTGGTTCTTTTTGCATTCAGGGCAGCGCCAGGAGGCTGGGACAGCCACATCCGGCTTAAAACCAACACATCCCCGGTGGTATAATCGCCGACACCTGTTATTACCACACTTGACGCCCTCTGTTGCTGATGCAAAGCGATTGCAACCCGCGCACTGAATACCCCGCATAGTAAACAGAGAGAGCCAAACCGTGTCGTAAATTGTTCAGTGCAAAATCGCAAGATGGCGCCACCGTTCCGATATCGATCGATGACAACACCGATAATATCTTTCTCCCGTCAATGTGACGTTTAGACAAATATCAACACACTGTCCAAAAACGAGGGTAGAGATTAAATACGTCCAGTCACTGTCCGTATTGTTTTGTTTGTTTTAATCCTATTTGCACTCAACTTACTGCCGGCTTCAATGCATGTCCCTTTGCGTTGCACTGTGTTCACAATAACGTAAGTAATTATATTAATACTAGGGTTAACGAATTTTTGATTAAAAATAAGGATATGTATGAACTACACCGACAGACGTCAAACGTCAGAATCGTCATATCACCTTCGTCGTCGTATCACCAAATATTTAATTTAATATTAGATGTGTGAGTAAAATGTAGAAAACCAATTTTATTGTTTAAAATAAAAGAAATGTCACAACACAGATTACATTTAGCAAATTATCCGGTTTCGAAAGCATCTTTCTTCACAAACACAGGAGTGCAGTTAATAGTCTTGTTTCTATTGGCTACAGCGGTGCCCTTTACAGAGATAAACCCTTCTTGACCCATTTTACCAGGCTTTTTTCCCTTCTTCCATCCCGCCCAAATCCTTAAATATCCTAAAGTTCCTAAACTCTAATCCCCAAGAGGCACCACACCTGCAAGTCTTTCTGCATTAACATTTTCAAAAAGTAAAATAAGATACACTGACAAATTAATATTTAATTATGTTCTGTTTAGGACCTTAAGCTTAAAGTCATAAGAGCTGGTGTTGTTGGTTTTAATATCACTTCCATTTTCCATTTTAGACGAGTGATGTCATTAGAAATGTGGAACTGGCGTACGATGTATGCAAGAGTCGTCTTCAAGGTCATCATAGCGTACTTTTTCCCTGTAAACAAAAACCTTGTTTATAGCAATTTATGGAGATTATTTAGTGTGGGAGAGCCATGCTTCGGGACGAATGGGTTTGTTCGACCGGAGTGTTACCACGGCCTCACTGAAAACCGGCATAAAACAACCACAGCGTTTTGTTTAGTCGCGTGAGACAGGTTACCGGAGGCCCAATCCTACCTGTCCCCCAATCCCTAAATCCTCAAAACCCTAATACCCAAAAGTTTGGCAACACACTTGTAACTCCTCCGTTGTTGTGGGACACCACGCGTGGCGCTGATTGCTTACCATCAGTTAATCCGTATGCTGGTTTGGCGTCCTATATAAAAAATCCCACATAAAAAAAAGGAATTTAGGATGTAACACCGTTCAATTGATATTTAGTTAAAGAAGTAGCACACAGTTTAACATACTCTTCTGTTGTCTTACCCTGTTTTGTGCAAAGACAATTATTAATTGAATTCTTTTGCCGAGGGTATGGTGAGATGGATTGTCAGACTCTTACTAGCTAAAACCCCCTGTTCCTCTTTTGTTTTAGGCCGCGGCTGTGGTACCTTATTGCATTTTACCTGCACCCTGGCTAAATTTCTAAATATTATATAAAAATAATTTTGGTCTTGCATTATTCGTAATAGCCCAGAAAAGATTTGACCGTAAAAAAAATAATTAATAGTGTAGAATTAACTTCGACACGGACGGAGCCTCATGCGACCGCTAGTATTATTTTATTAAGCCTTTGTCTGCAGACAGAAAACTGTTGAAGGCAAATCCTCCGCTAACGGAGGTCACCAGTGACTCCTGTGGCACTTAACGTGTGAAATTGTAGTGAATCCATACCTATACAGTTTCGCTTGCCAATATTAAATCCTGCGAATGCATTGGGGTTCTTGGGCAACGCATCTGGATTCAGCCATCGGTCCGGATTGAACTCTCTTGCATCTGGTCCCCACGAGGAGTGGCGGTTGAGATCGTATAGCGACAGAGCACATGTGTTTCCAGCTCGTAAAGTATATTTCGCTAAAAATTTAAGATAGACTGTAAAAAAAGTACTTACATTGCCTAATAACATTATGTGCTTAGTTTTTTAATGTTATATTACGGCAAACGAGCAGACGGATTACCTGATGGTAAGCAATAACGCCGCCCATGGAACCATGACAACGGAGGAGTAATTAGTGCGTTGTCGACCTTTTGGGGAGGAGAAGGATGGGCCTCTGGTAACCTCACTTACACGGCGAAACACAGCGCTGTGGTTTTTTCACCCTGGTTTCCTGTGAGGCCGTGGTATCACTCCGGTCGAGCCAACCCATTCGGGCCGAAGCATACCTCTCCCACACATATACTCGTATTTTTTTATAGCCTATTGTGTGTCCCACTGCTGGGCAAAGGCCTCCCCTTTTTCCTTCCAAATTTTTCTGTCTAGAGCGATCTCCGGCCAAGTTTATTATCAATTAATAATATAATACTCGTATTATCAATTTATTTTTTTCAAATAATAGTTTTCTTATATTGAAACTAATGTTAATACTTACAAAGTACCACATCGGTTTGAAGGTTTCTCGCAACAAAAGGAACTGGAGGATACAACCTCAAAACTTCTTTTATCACAGCTTCTGAATAAACGAGTTTTGGTAAATCATTTTTATCTATATCTTCATTCTGAAATACTTCCATTACTCTGTAATTTGTTAAACAAAAAGATATACATTATTGGTAAAAAATATGCAAGTGGTTGGTCTTCACCTTCCCTCATCCCTAATCCCCAAATCACATTCTTGTATTTCTTATTATTTGATATTGCTCAGCCCACTGGTTTTATCTGGATCTAATTCCATAAAAGATGTATAATTATTTACCTCATTACCAAAGATTGGGAACTATTCACAATTAGTAATTTTTCACTATTCACAATTAGTAAATGTATATTGTCGTGGTGGCCCGGGGGTTAAGGAGCCCGCTTCTCATGCATGAGGATGGGAGTTCGAAACCTGGCAAGTACCAGTACTTTCTTTGATTATTAAGACACCACTGACATGCGGTGAACGTAAACATCGTGAAGAAACCTGGACTTATAATTTCTTCAAACTTATAATTAGAAGATTTCAAACTTATAATTAGAAATTATATGTACACGATTCCTCACGATATTTTCTTTTAGCCTATCTTAGTGGTGTCCAAAAACCGTAGAAAGTGCATTTAACTCGGAAAAAGTCTTATTGGTGCCTGCTAGGTCTCCGCGCCACCACGACATACTCATTTTTACTTACTCTTTATAAAATCGTTCCTGCACATCTGGATACGTCCCCAGTATTAACATAGTATCCCTTAGTACCGCTGAAGTTGTGTCGTAAGCCGCTAATACAAAAGTGTTCAAATGTTCTTTGATCTCAATGTCACTGAAAACGTGTTCTTCGTCACCTAAATGTAACAATAAGTCTAGAAGAGGTTTGAGTTTCCCTGGAAATAAAATA